CAACCATTCTCGGAAGGGTACTGCGCGGGGGCTTATGGCCGGCCGTGACGGAGGCCTGGCCTCCACCTGGGTACACACACACACTCATTATGTAGACCAGCGACGATATTTTACGGGGCGGGCGGGCTGGCTTTTCCTTTTGTCTGAGGCAAAGTTAAAATAACGGTTGAAAGTCGGCCGGGTCCTTCTGCTGGTGTCACACCTGTGGCCGGCAAAGGAAGGAGGAAATTGCTCCCTCTTGGTCTTTTGATGGGAGTTGGTCCCAATTGTAGAATAACCCCACTAAATCGATGGGATTTTCCTGGGTAATGACTAATAATTCCCGCTGATTGCAGTGTTTCCATCTGTACGGAATTAACACACATCTAGGCAAATGTTTGGGTTTCTACTCCCATCAGATTTAGCCAGTACTATCCACAGTGAAGGATTATGGATGTTGAGGCCTAAAACCTGCCAGAGAGCCACAATTGCCATTCTTTGAATGAATACATCCTCATGCCAAGAAACAAAAATGCCTCATTTCCCCACATGTTTCCATGCAATGCAAATGTGGGATTGCCTGTTTGTGAGAATCAGACCTAAATGTCTGGCTGTCTTGTGGGAGAGCTTGCATACAGTTAGAGTGCTGACTGGGGGAAATTTGCATTACCTTTTTGGTTTCTGGTATGATATGCAGAGAGTACCAAGATTGATAGCAGCCTTGCTGGCCTGGTACAATTTTCTGACTACAGTATTGAGTATTGTCTCTTAATATTCTTTGTATGTTCCATGTCTAGGCATGCAACCTTCTTTCTTCACATCCAGGGAGAGAGAGAGAGAGGTACAGATGTTAACAAGCAGCTGCCAGTCTTTGCACACTGCCTTCTCATGAGGAAGTGAATGCAGGTACAGAGCTTTGGTTTGTTCTCTTAGCTGGAAAAACAGGTAGTAGTTATTCCTCTGCATGCTCCCAGACGAAACATTGGAGGAAGCATTTCTTGAGAAACATTCAGGCGAGCACCTACATTTCTGTAGATGGCTACTATAAATGTGCCTGATGTTTAGATTGAAAAGTATTCTAGAGTCAGCTAGCTGTTTTGACTTGTTACAGTTTATCAGAAGTCCCAAAGACAATATTTGGCAGTTTCTGTAGCAAGAACGGAACTGACTTTGTTATTGACATCCTTTTTCTTTGTGTAGCGCCTGCTTTTTTGCCAGCTGCCTATTGTCTGTGTCTGTACTTGCGGAGTATTCTTCAGGGATTTTATGAGGTCTTATCAACAAGTTGCCACAGTACACTAGATCCGTTTGTCATCATTAACTCCCTTTTAAATTTTTTTAAAGAGAGTTGCAGATGGATCTTATTAGCGATATAAAAAGAGCATCTTGTTCCTAATAGCTGTATTGTATAACAAAATACTTCAGTGACAAGCATGTTCTAAAGCAAGAAAGTGATGCAGCCATCTATTCTAAATGTATCTTCATCTGTGTTTCTTTGGGCCTGATCACTGGTGGCTGGGGTTTGATAGCCAACCCATTAAATAGGCCCAGCTACCTCTTGTTCTTTTTGCTGCCCTGCTGTCCCATCTTGAGCATAGGTCCCAAAGTTTCCTGTGGAAAAGAAAGTATGTTCCTCCCATCTTTTCACACTAGACATTGGTTCAGTACTCAGAGATGATAAATAGCACAGTAAGTTATAGCAAAGAACAGGAGCAGCAGGCCTAGGAGCTGCTGCTAGCCACCCACCTAACTGTGATTGTTGAATGGTGCCTATTGGTGATTACAACTCTGTGTCTGAGATGGGACTTGGAGGAGCTGAATTAATGAACGTGTTTGAGATTAATGAAAGTAAAACTGTTAGCTTTTTGTTTTGCTGTTTTTCTTCCTATTAAACAGAGTCAGTTTGTTATATGGTGTGCAACTGTGCCCAGTTTTGATTGGGCAGAATCTTCTTGGAGTCTGCATAAGACGTCTGCATAAGTTGCATGAGTTGCTGTGGTTTCAGGGCACTTTTCAACTGCATGCCTAGCCATACACCCAGTTGCAAAGTCAAAGTGAAACCAAGTACTTTGTCAGTTAGCTGTGACTAGCTGTCAGTTTATGCAAACCTTATATGAACGGCAATAGAATTCTAGCCTTTAAATACTTCATAAACAATTGTATTGATTCCAGTTAAGTTGATTCCAACTTATGGTGGCCCTTCCAGGGTCTTAAAATATCCAGAAATGTTTCACCAGTCCTTCCTTCTGGTGATGTGTTCGGACCATGCTGGTTGCCCAAGGCCATATAGTGTTAGGACACATAACCCCATCAGCCATACATGCTGTGGCTGACTGTAGCTGGCCTCTCTCCCAAGAGACACCGTGATGATTCAGGTTCCCAGCCCATAGCTTTGCAGTCAGGCACTCCAGCCTCATTATGTCAGCTAAATAGTTGTATTGGCAATTGTGTATTAATTGTTTTTGATTTTTTAAAATTTTTGTGTTTCCATTTACCTCCTTAGAGTTATAAAACAGCAAAGAACATTATAATACCTTAAAGCCTAGTAGGTTTTGTTTGGTATTAGCTTTCCTTTAGATATATGGCTGAAGTCTGTATATGCTTATGGTACATTACACTGTCTAGCAACTCTGTACTATAAACTGGCAGTGATTTCTTTATTTTTATTTCATGCCACCTTTATGCCACAATTGGAAATAAAGGTGGCTTACACAATTGTTTTTTAAAAAACAGAAAATTAAAATACAATAGATTTTCTACAGTGATAATAATGAATAAAAATGCATTATAATATTGAAATAAAATGTAGAACATTGAATTTTTTTTGCATAAAAATGCTAACAATAGTTTAGCATTAATAAGACAGCCAGCATGTTGATTAGAACCTTGTAGTTTGAGGCACTCGATTTCCAAATACTTACCTGAATAAAAAGGTCTTTGCCCACTGCTGGGAAATAGACTTCTCTTGGTAAGGAGTTCCAGAGCCTGGCTGCAGCTGCTGAAGAAGCCCTCTCTTGACTCCTCATCAGATGGGTCTGTGAAAGTGATGGGACTGTGACAAGGACCTCTTCAGCAGATCTTAAATCCCTTTTAAATCAAATTTGACCTTTTCCTAAGAAATAACAAGCTTTTCCTGGTCAGTTCAGTGATATTATTTAATCCAAGAGTATGGGGGGGGGGGGGAGGCTTGGCCCAGAGGATGTCTGTTGTGACTTACACCAGTGGGTTTTCCTATTTAAGCAATGGAAATGTGTGTGCATATATGTATAAACACATATATATGAGTAGAAATGTGGCTTGAATTTGCATGATATATGTCAAAAGTAGCTAGTTAGTTTCTATCTCTTTGCCCTAGTCTCTTAAATGAGCTGGCATCAACTAATCTATTGTAATTACTTTTAACAGGCCTAAGGAGACTCTTTTCCTTGGATTAGAAAATATCAGCCGCTGTCATTCCTGAGAATACACAGTTTTGTTCAGAAAACTGCTTGAAGAGTTGTCAAATGACATCAATGGCCAGTCTGTTCTCTTTTACTAGCCCAGCTGTAAAGCGTCTGTTGGGCTGGAAACAAGGGGATGAAGAAGAGAAATGGGCAGAAAAAGCAGTGGATGCTTTGGTAAAGAAACTGAAAAAGAAAAAAGGAGCCATGGAGGAGCTGGAGAAAGCACTGAGCAGCCCTGGACAACCCAGTAAATGTGTTACTATTCCGCGTTCATTAGATGGGCGACTGCAGGTTTCTCATCGCAAAGGCCTTCCCCATGTTATTTACTGTCGTGTGTGGCGATGGCCTGACCTGCAGAGCCATCATGAACTGAAGCCTCTGGACATTTGTGAATTTCCTTTTGGATCAAAGCAGAAGGAAGTCTGTATCAATCCCTATCATTACAAAAGGGTGGAGAGCCCAGGTGTGTTTTAATATTATGATATTGCCTTCACCCACTATTAGAGGTTAAATAGTAATGCATTTGGCAGCTTGAGGTGGACTGGTGAAAACTGGGAAGAGTAGATGGTGAATTTGAAGGGTGCACTTGTATTGTAAGGAAAATCTTCTGTGATTTAATGAATTTTGATAATACATGCCTCTTGGTTTGGGGTGTCTAAAATTGGATGTTGCATGTAACCATTTCTGATCTTGTTATAAATAGGGAAGCAAAATGTCCTATTAGCCTGATAATCACTGAACTCCTAAATATTTTCAACATCCTTGAAAATATTTCAGCTTCCTTCATGACATAATAATCTATCTTCATAAGTTAGTTTCTCATATTTGAAATAATTCTAGTCCAGCTGTCTCCCTTTTTGCTGTACTAAATTTAATCTCTTTCCTTCACTTTTGTTCTCCCTCTGCACCACAGTTTTGTTGTGCTGTGTTCTGCAGTTTCCTTTACATTTTCTTTTAGTGTATGTGTGTGTTCAGGGGTTGGTTATTTGTTCTATGCGCAGTTTGTCAGTTGGACACATGTCTTTACCCTACCAGGCTGCTACGGTGCACCCCACCAGATTTTTCCTAACTGGGAAATGCAGTGCAGTGCTTTGACAGGTATGAGGCTTTTGGAATGTGCTTCTTTCTCTGTGCTTTATGCATTTTAAAAAGCTACTAACCATGGGGGTAAATGGTGCTCCTTGGAACTGTTTATGTTATATTGTTCTCTTCTTTTTCAGTTTTGCCTCCAGTTCTGGTGCCAAGGCATAGTGAATTCAACCCACAGCATAGCCTTTTGGTTCAGTTCAGAAACCTAAGTCACAATGAGCCGCATATGCCACATAATGCAACTTTTCCAGACTCGTTCCAGCAACCCAACAACACTCCATTTCCCATTTCTCCAAATAGTCCGTATCCACCATCTCCGGGCGGCAGTACTTATCCAAATTCCCCAGCTAGCTCTGGACCATCTAGTCCATTTCAGCTCCCAGGTAAAGATTGTATGAAAATTACTAAAAAGAAATACTACAAGGCCAAAAGGAGTGAAATTACATTTACATCACCCTACATCTCTTGTGATGTTTGTTAAAAGCACAGTATGAAGGAGCTTCCCTGATTTCTTATGAAGATGAGGTTATAAATTGAGTACATAGTAATAAATACTTGTAGTTTGGAAATTAATTTAATCATAGAAATGGGGACGCTTAAAACAAAAATTTGATGATTCATGGTGAAACCTCAGGTATTATGTATTCCTGTGTATGTATCTGCTACAGATAGGTAGTGGGACAAATGACACAGAGGATAAATTTGAACAAAGCATACATCGTTTTATTGTTGTTTATATAGTGTTGTCCATGGTTCCAGAAGGTGAGGATTGCAGTCTAGAAAATAATGCAAGGAAATAGGGGTAAGCACAGGAAAAAAAACCCAGCTGTTTTCATTAAACATATTTAGCTTTAGTTACAGCAGATAGTGTGTGTGGATTAGGTTGTTGTACGAAAGGCTTCAGGGAAGAATTGGGTTTTGATAGAGTGATTGAAGTGAAAGACGTGGCATCTTGGGAAGTCGTTCCAGGTACAAAGGCAACAGTGCAGACATGCTGAGAAACTTGTGGATGATGGAGCTGACCAGGAGGATACAATTTGTTTCTGAAAAGAAAACCAGTATAGGGATATAAAGAAGGGACATCATATGGTCAGTGCATTGAGAGGTGAGTGGTTCTGACAGTAGAGTTTTGAATAGGAGCAAATGGATTGAGATTTGACAGTGGGAGATCGGAAAGGTTATAATTGTTGTGGTCTAGGCGGGAACATGGTATGGGCCAGACACTTTCCCAAGGTGACAGAGGACATGATTTGGTAAGGAACTGAAGATGATGATGGTGATGAGAAGTCATGAAGGAAGGAAGGCTTATATATCTATTTAGCAAAGTGGATGATGACATTCTCAGTGTATGTCAAATGGAAGAGGACGTGGGAGAAGAGATTAGAAGAAATTATTCAACTAAGTATATGAAAGGGACATGGAACTGTGGAATGGCATGAAAGAGAAAGGTTCCGGCGTAGAAAAGTTGAGATTGGTAATGTCAACACATAATTGGTACTGAAACCTATCCAGTATCATTTGGTTGCCCTGTAAGAACATATAAAAAGAATGGATCCCTGAGGAGCCCTAATGAGATGTGGAAAAAAGTAGAGTTAGAATTTTTGAATGAGAGCATAAATAGGAACAACTTGGAATCTGGCAAGAAAATGAGGAATACAAAGATTTGAATAATGCAAGATCTGTTGAGGGAAGTTTCCATGGTGGACTGGGGATGGAGGCCAGATTAAAAGGAGTCAAGTTGAAAGAGACAAAGATGAAATGGGGAGTGAGTAGCATGTGGTAGGAGTCTAAAGATAAAGAGGAGAACATTTGGGCAGTAGCTGAAGAGGGAGGAAGAATCAGGGGAGGTTTGGTGTTTTGTTTGTCTCTTTGTCTTTTAGAGTAGCATCAAGAACAATTTTATGAAGGAACAAAAAGTGGGAGTTTCTATAAAGACATCAGACATTTTCCCCAAACCACCTCTTAATCTTTAAAAAAAAGTGAGGGAAGTATATTTTCTAAATGTAATTGTTTTTAAAATGTTACATCAGCTTGCATTAATGAGAGATATATTTATATTTATAATGCATGAACACCAGAAACAAAAGTCTTAACATTATTTATCCCAGTATGAATTACACAGTAGTAATATGTAACGGTATACAGTGGTGCCTCGCTTAGCGATGTCAATTTGTACCGAAAAAAATCGCTGCTATGCGATTTCATCACTAAGCGAAACGCGGTTTCCCATTGAAATGCATTGAAAACCGGATAATCCGTTCCAATAGGAACGTATTGCCGTCCTTAAGTGAAAATCGCCATAGGAAACATCGCTAAGCGAAACGCGGTCCCCCAATTGAAATGCATCTCAATGGGGGGAAAAATACAACAACAAATTAAAAAAGAGTCAGAACAAAGTCAAATTTGGTTAACAAAGGGTTTATTAAGTGCACTTTATGATTTCAAACATTTTAAACAGTAAACTTTAACTTTATAAATAACAGGAAAACATTTAAAAAACAGCAAACATGAGGCTGTTTAAACCATCATTAAGCGAAACAGGGGACCCAAAATTGAATCGCTATGCGAAGCATGGTCCCAACCATCGCTAAGCGAAAATTGCCCATAGGGACCATCGCTAAACGAAGCGCAAAACACTCAAAAAAAGTCATTGCTAAGCGATTTCCTCGCTAAACAGAGTGCCCGTTAAGTGGGGCACCACTGTATTATAGTGTAATGGAGTAGGAACTAGATGGAAGAAGGGTGGAGATACAAGGGATAATGGTAAACATGGGTGAGAAGGGGATATAGAATAGAATCTTAGAGCCCTTCTCCAACCTCAGGAATCAAGCCTAGTTTCAGAAGTAGTAGAGATGGGTAGAAACTGTAAATGCAGGCTGGGGGATACCGTATTTAAAGAGTCCTTTGTATTAAGATGAGTATATCAGAAGAAGGCTTGGTACTTCTCTCAGAGAAGTTGTGTTCATGTGCAAGTAATTGTAATATGAAGAGAGATGGGTGTCCAATCCTGCAGTGTCCTATCTGTAGCCTGAAATGCAGATTTATCATCATCTATGTACTGCTGTGAAGTTCCTTCAAAATAAAGCTTTCCCCAAAGTAACAGCAAGTTTGGATGTAATGATATTGTCAACCTCTGAAACCTCTCAGTAATGCTCCATCTTAATTGCTCTAAAATTAAATGACTGGGATAATTGTGTTTTCTTACACATGTTACATGTTGTATAGTTTTATTTGCTTCCAGGTGGTACCAACTCGTAAAAATTAAATAAAGGTTCAGGAAGCTTGATAACTTGGCCAGCACTGCCTCCCCTGGCTCTTGAAGAAGGAAAATGAGACAAGGAAGACTTCAGCTAGATAGGGCAGCTAGGTTGTGGAGCAAAGGGCAATAGGCCTTCTGCAATATTTAGAGCTAGAGTGAAACATATTAAACTATAAAAAATGTAACATAATGGTAATCTAATTCAAAGTTAATTTGATTCATAGTGAAAAACCAAGATCCCCAAAAGAATGGAAAAATAAGAGGTGAACAAAATATGAATGCCATGTAAATAAGAAAGGCGGAAACAAAAATTTATTGTAGAAGGAACGAATGAACTGAAGGTTTGATTAGACTGGGTCAAACTCTAATGCAAATTTCTCTTTATAGCAGATACACCACCACCTGCATATATGCCTCCTGAAGATCAAATGGGGCAAGATACTTCACAATCTATGGACACAAGCAATAATATGATCCCACAGATAATGCCAAATATTTCCAACAGAGGTGAGACAGTGTATTTGGTAGACTTGTTAATATTTTGCCAATATGTTGCCAATGACACTAACTGTGGAGAACTGTAGCCTCCATTCCAGCCTGTTGTTTTCTGGAGAAAATTTCAGCTACAGTGGTGCCTCGCTTTACAATTGCCCCGCATTATGACAAAACCGCTTAATGATGATCTTTTTGCTCTCGCAGAAAGGTGGTCTGAATGGGGGAATTTAGCTTTGCGATGATCGGTTCCCTGCTTTGGGAACCGATTCTTCGCAAAATGACATTTTTCGAACAGCTGATCAGTGGTTTCAAAATGGCCACCGGGTGATTAAAATGGCTCTCCGGTGTGTTTAGGGATGGATTCCTCACTATACAGGCAGTGAAAATGGCGGCCGTATGGAGGATCTTCGCTGGACGGTGAGTTTTTACCCCACTGGAACACATTGAATGGGTTTCAGTGCATTTCAGTGGGGTTTTTAGTATCACTTTACGATCTTTTCTCTTAACGGCGATTTTCCTGGAACGGATTATCATCTTTAAGCGAGGCACCACTGTATATTGCTTTTGATGGCTTAAATTGATTTTGATAGAAGTGGGACTCTTGTAATGTAATTGTGGATTTGGTTGTTTGTGTTTCAGATAAATTGTTATTTGTGTTGAATGTTTCAGTATTCATAGGGCATACTGGGGCAGAGAATTAAAAATGTGTTCATAGATTGTTTTTGCTTGTAACTGTTTATTTTTGCATAGATGTTATTTTAAGAATACATTCAGTATAGGTGAGTTGTAATCTGAAGGGGTGAGTAGATAAATCAAGCTTTTTTTAAGTTAATGAAGTTGCAAGTTGTGATACAGTGTAATGGTTATGAAAGCAGAATACAGTGGAACCTCTACTTATGAACTTAATCCATCCCAGAAGATGTTTGTTAGTTGAAACATTCGTAGGTAGAAACAAAATTTACCATAGAAATGCATTGAAAACTGATTAATCTGTTCCAGCTGTTTTTGGTTCTTATGTAGAGGTGCCATTTGTACGTTGAAGCATTAATTCCCATAGGAACTAATGCAAAGCTGGTTAATCCGTCCTCTACCACTAGGGGGAGAATTTTTTTTCTTTTGATCTAAGATGAACTTAGGTCAAAAAAAGGGCAGGGAAAGAGGGGGAAGGGAACACCTTCTAAACAGAACATCTTTAAAAACAAGCACCTTTTATACAAAACCAAGCACCTTTTAAGTTAAAAAAGGGCAGGAAAGGAGGGAGGGAGGGAACACCTTGGAATGCACCTTTTCAGCCAAGCCAAGTACCTTTTAGGTTAAAAAAAAGGCAGGAAAGGAGGGAAGGAACAATGGGTAAAAGAGGAAAGAAAGAAAGAAGGTCATCACTGGGGCACACAGACCCCTCAGACAAAGGTTTGTGCTTTTATGAAAACAATGGGGAAGAGAGTTTGGAGTCTAAAACACATTTTAAATAAAACACATTTGAGTCTAAACTGCATTTTAGAGCAAATCAGCCAGCACAGCCCCTCACAGAATATTTTCTGATTTTAAGAAAAAAAAAGACTTTGGAGTCTAAACTGCATTTTACAGCCTGTTTGCACCAACAACCAGCAACCATTACTGTATTCCAGCAAAGAACTCCACATCACAAAAAGAGAGCTGGGGGGGGGGGAGAGACTTAACTCCATTTTAAAGCCTGGTTGCCTGCATCTACAACCACCACAACCCCTCACAGAATACTGTATTTTCTGATTTTAAAACAGACTTTAGAGCCACATTTAACTGCACACATTTTAAAACTAAAATCCACACTGCAAGACCCATCAGAGCACAGAAACATAACCCCCCACCTAGCACTACCCCCCACCAAGCTGAAAAAAAAACATGTACAGTACAGTAAATACAGTGTACTCACCCAGAACAGGCAGTCTTTCTGTTTAAAAAAAGAAAATCAAAAATCCAAAAATTAAAAAAAGCCAAAAAAATACAGTCTGTACTGTACAGTACCACATAGTACTGTGTAGTACCGGGCAGTACCAGGTAATCTGAAGACTCTCCCTATCCACTCTAACTGCTTGGATGAGCGATGTTACAGACAAGCACCCTCTTCGCTGGCCAACAGTCAATTGAAAGTTCAAATTCCGCACTTTCTCCGCCTCCCCCACAGTTTTTCATCCGTATGTTGAAGCTCCGTTTGCAAGTAGGAGCAAATTTTTGCAAACGGAGCTGTTCATAAGTTGGATTGTTCATAGGGAGGGACGTTTGTAAATAGAGGTTCCACTGTATTCAAAGGCTTTAGTTAACATCATAAATCAGTTGTGAATTCAGTAGCTTAAAGGAAAGCCATTGCCTCCAGACTTGTTTATGTTTTTCTGATACAAAGAGGATGGTATTGACTGTTGAAAAGAGTTTTGATATGATGCATATAAAGTTCTTTCAGTAGTTAGGAAAATGCATTGGTGCTAAGTATTCCATTGTACAGGAGAGAATGTAGATTACCTTTCGCCAGTTTGGTCAATGTTGGACTGCAAATCTTATCACTCCCAGCCAGTTGGGATGAGAGTTACAGTACAGCAAACCTAATGGGACTGTAGGACTGTTCAAGATACTGAATATTCATATGTTCCATTTTTGTTCATAGATGTTCACCCTGTGGCCTATGAGGAACCCAAGCACTGGTGTTCAATTGTATATTACGAATTAAACAATAGAGTTGGGGAGGCTTTTCATGCATCGTCTACTAGTATCTTGGTAGATGGATTTACAGATCCTTCTAACAACAAAAACAGATTCTGTTTAGGGTTACTCTCCAACGTTAATCGTAACTCAACAATTGAAAACACCCGGAGACACATTGGAAAAGGTAATGCAGAAGTGCACCTGGTATATTTATAAACAACCTGTTTTCACAATGCAAGCCTCAGTAAATACAATGATATATTTGAGTGCAGTAATACATTGCATAATAGAAAATTGTATACTTACATGATTTGGCTAGAAATTGCCATGTCAACTGTAGTAAAAAAATATTTTAACTGGTTTATACTATGGAACATTGCATTGCAAAAGTTCTATTTTCATGCTAGTTCTATCATTTTGGATTTATTTCTTATTTATAAATACTGTAGCCGTTTTCTAAACTTTTGTTCTTGGTGTACACATTTGAGGCTTTTGTGTAGAAATGACCTTCTAATGCTAACATGAGAAGTGATCTTAAACAAAACAGAGTTGCAAGAGAAAAGGTTAAACCTGACCTGTTTGATTCTTAATTTGCATCTGGGGAAAGGTTACAGGGAAGAGGGAGAATGATGTTACATAGTTCCATACTGTGGTTGAATGTTGCTGAAAGAAACACTGCAAGCAGGGAAGAGGAAGACAAAGGGAGAAAGAAGAACAGACCAAGATTGGGGATGTTCACATCTTTATGGAATGGCTCATATTTCCCAAAAGGTGGGCTTTGGAGGCCTGCAGGACTTTTTGCAATGTGGACATAGTAGAGCTTAGGATGGAGGAGAAACATAAAGTCCAGAAATTATCCTGGCTAGATATTGAAGCTGCAGGATCTATGGTTTCAGAATGGAGACTGCAAATGAGCTTCAAGTGTGACTTTAATACTCTTAACCTGAGAGGCTGTAGTAATTAAACTTTTGTGACACTAGGCAACAACCATTTGAGAGTTTTATCTCTGGGAGGATGAAATGCTTAGTGTAGTTCAGTAGTTCTTGAGAAGGTGTAAATTTTCTAACTGTGGTAATGGATCTTGCTCTGGATGGCTATTTTTGGTATTTGCCATGGAAAATGCAAGAAACACGGCCATGTCACATGCACAGAATTAAAAATCAGGGATTTACTAGGCCACTAGAATATCATAAAACACACAAAATTGTGATCCAATTAATTAACCACCTAGTGATTTCATATAAATCACACCAAATGTCTGTTTTGTCATTTTGGTCATGATTCAATGCTTCATTGTAATTAAGTAAGAATGTCAGTAAACTTCATGGATATAATCTAACAAAATTGTTTTACCATCTACTGGGCAATCTTCTGTAGTTGGTGGAAGGAGGCCATCTAGTGGTTGATGTGATAAGATACTGGGTGTTTGGAATTAAAGTATTCCCTGACGTAGTTGAACAACTATGAAAGTTGTTTTTGCTGGAGTCTTTTTTCAAATAGAAATCGGGCTAGAATTTCTCCATCTCAAAATAAAAGGCTATAAAAGTTTCTACAACTAACTATTAATTGTCCCCCCACCCACTTTTCTCAGGTGTTCATCTCTACTATGTTGGTGGGGAAGTCTATGCCGAATGCCTAAGTGACAGCAGCATATTTGTACAGAGTCGGAATTGTAATTACCATCATGGATTTCATCCTACAACTGTCTGCAAGATACCAAGTGGCTGTAGCCTGAAAATTTTTAATAATCAGGAATTTGCTCAGCTTCTAGCTCAGTCAGTCAATCATGGCTTTGAGGCAGTATATGAGCTTACCAAAATGTGTACAATCCGGATGAGTTTTGTAAAGGTAAGATACTGGCTATCTTGAACTTAATGAAACTATTTCCACAGCAGTAGCTGTGTTAGTCTTGACTCTTGTTTTTTATGCAACAAATTAACTTGATGAAATAGGTTTCAAACCCATAAAACTGTATGTCCTCACAAGCTTACTAGTACAGTATTTAAAGTATCATAAAGCCATTATTTGTTTTTACATGTTTTGGTAAATTTTAAAGTATACTGTATATATTGTAACATTAAGGTAAAATTAGATGGTGAGTGTGGCATCCTACCATATTTACTATATTTTTCTGTGTATAAGATGCTATTTTTTCCTAAAACCATTACACTAAAAATTGAGGGGTGCCTTATACACGGAAGTAAGCTGAAGAGAGAACAAAACTGCCTGTCCCTTGCCTCTGTAAACAGGTTTCCTTCAGTCACAAGGGTTAGCTTCCTACAGTCAGGAGACTTAGCTTCTTCTAATCATGAGCCTCATGGAACTGACCTCAGCTGATGCTGAACAAACCAATTAGAACATACCTCGTTAAAGGTGGAGCCTATAGGATCAGATGCAACAGGGACTCGTAATGTCCAAGTGTTCTGAGTCCAGAGGCTGAATATTCAAAGTTAAGTTTAGATTTTTAAATTTTGGGCTAGAAAGGTGTGGGGGGGGGTAGGTCCTTGTACATGGGCATGTCTTATACACAGAAAAATGTGGTAATCAAGCAATTCCACAGAAGTAATTCACCATCAATCATAATATGGAGTGGGAGTGCTGTTCAGATGTGTTCTCTGCAGTACACTCTTTTTCATTGATATATTTGAATTCAAAACAAGTGCCGGTTGGTTAGATGTACCTCTGAGTAATCATTGGCAGGATCTCCCATTCAAGATAACAATTGAATAGCAGCTTTCTTCAGACCCAGTAAACAGTAATATCCCTGTCCCTAAATAACTAGTAGCTTGGAAGTCTTGGAATTTGAGGACATTGTGGTTTGTAGAGAGAATAGTGAGACAGGTTTAGGGACATTTTTTTTTCTGTGGATAGAACAGAATAAAAGTATATCCTTTTATTCGTCAACATATCAATATCCTTTTGGTTCTGGTCTGCTGGATTTTCTTTAGAAGGAAATGCTCCTGTTTTGTTTTTCAAGGTATAAATTATAACAGTAGCGTAAGTTGTTTTTAGATAGAATTTTCTCATCATTAAATGTGTGTCCATTTTTGTAGGGATGGGGAGCAGAATATCACCGTCAAGATGTTACAAGCACCCCATGCTGGATAGAAATACATCTTCATGGGCCATTGCAGTGGCTGGATAAAGTACTTACTCAAATGGGTTCGCCTCTTAATCCCATCTCTTCTGTTTCATAGTGCCAAAGTGTTTCCTCAACAACTATAATTTTAGTGACCATTTTTTTATTCTGCAAAGGCTTCCAGTGTGGATACTGTGTAAGACCATATCACCTGTTAATTATCTTTTATTGATGACCCATTCCATTGTTTTTATTACCATTTTACCTATCATTTGATGTTAAAAGAAACAGTCACATTTGAGAGGAAAACTGAAAAATCAAACTTATTTCTTTTTGCTAGACATATTTGAACATCTTTGACTGCACTGGAAGTATTTTAACGTGTCTTCTATGAACACACTTTTGAACTGACACTAGGAAATGAATAAGACTCGTTTGCTGAATATGCATTATTGCTGTTGTACAATCAGGTTTTAATGTTCCTGTATAATTTTCTGGATGCTGATAGTCCATAAACTAGCTTTATTACACCTGAACTTGCCTTAGCTTGAACGATAATGACATTAGTACATACATGTTGGAAAACACTAGTTATGAGAAGTGGTATTAGATTGTATCCACTCTGTCATAGCCAAGAGTATTTTTATCTTCATTCTGATCTACTATAACATTGGAGTGAACCTAACATATACAGTACTGTGTGCATCTGCTCAGGGGTCTCCGAGACTTCAGTGTAACATAACTCCCAAATATGAGTGCATAGGATTGCTTCCTTAATCCTAGTTCTTTTCAGACATTGACTGAAGGCACCCTCTCATGTCTAAACTAGTCAGTATTTTCTCTTGACTTAATTAATACTCATGTTTTGGTGTTATACTTTTTTTGAAGTATAGCTCTTTAGACAATCTATATATATATTAAGAGTAAAACACTACAATTTTGTATATAACATTGAAAGAAAATGCATTGTGTTTAACTTTCCATTTTATTTTGCACCTCCATAGCTGGTATCCTGGAGGCTTCTTCATTACTGTATTAGGTTTTACTCTTTTGTACATCACTTCTGTAACCACAATGTTATAAATATGTCTTCAATAAGTAGTGCAAAATGTTTGTGTGTTAGATTGCTTTTCCAAACCGGTCCCTTGGTGAAGATAACAAAAATCATTTGTCATCTGATCAAGGAACACAATTCTTCATATACGTACATTCCCTGGCATAATCGCCAATAGAGCTGTGAGTCTCCCAGACTTATCCTGTGCAGAATTAGCTATCACTGGGATCACTGAAGGTGATCAGAAGGGCTTCACAGAAGTGAAAGCAAATTTTATGGTCCCAGTGAATGTGCAAGTTATCTTGTACTAAGATTGCTGTCCATTCAACAGTACTTGTTTTCTCTAAAACAGAAGCAAATGTTTGAGTCACAGGCATCTACCAGTGTGAGTGTTATTATGGTTATCCCAAATGCATCCTGTGTGTGTCTGGCAGCCAGTCTGTGTAAGCATTCGTTTAATAATACCCTAGTCTTAAATTACCTTCCCTTCCCAGAATGTCGTTGTTCTGTGATAAGTAATTGAAAAATTTTCCTCCAAAATTCTTGTGTCCTATTGCCATCTGCTTCATTTTTCCTTTTTAGGGAACTTGTGACTCAGTGAGTTAAGTGCCTGGTTGCAAAACAAGGTTGGTCATAGAACAATTTCATGTAGCCTTGGGCAATCTGCGCAATACCAGTGTGCCACCAGGAAAAGGGGAAAGCAAACCAGTTTTTACACCCTGTATCTAGAAAACCTCAGAAAGGATTATTGTCATTTGGAATTGATTTGTAATTATTATTATAAAGGTGATAATATATCATGCTAAATAAATTCACTTCTAAGGAAGAATACCATCAAAGGTACTTTTGGTGGGTTTTTCCTATAGTGACAGTAAATTAAATTTAAACATCAGACTACAGAAATTTTGCTGGCTGTTGCCTTGTATAGATTACCATCAAGAATGTAAAAAGTACATTCTTGATGTACTTTTTACATTTGAAAAATATCAGCTTTGCTTTAAGGAACAGTGCTAAGTCTTTCTGGCCCATAGGGCTCTGTAAAAATTACTAGTGTTTAGGGTGCAGGCTATCGTTCCTTTTATATCTCCTTAGCCCCAATCAGTGGCAGAAATGAAGTATGCAGACCCACAGTTTGGCTTGGCTTGGCAACTATGTATCTCCATAGGAGCTAGGAAGAGTTGCTGGAGATTGTTTAAAGCAGGGTCATCAACCCCCAATCCGTGGTCCTGTGCCGGTCCGCGGGCTTGCCGGAACTGGGCCGCGGATATGGATCTTTAATCCCCTGTGTGCCCGCGGGGCGACGTGTTGTGCCTGTGGGGGGCGTGTCACACTCACGCGCATGAGACACCCCCGCAGGCACAACGTGCCCACTGCCTGAGTGTGGGGATGCCCCCCTGCACATGAAGCTCGCTCCCCCAGCTGGTCCGCAGCCCCCAAAAAGGTTGGAGACCGCTGGTTTAAAGCAGTGGTTCTTAACCTTGGGTTACTCAGGTGTTTTTGAACTGCACCTCCCAGAAACCCCAGCCAGCACAGCTGGTGGTGAAGGCTTCTGGGAGTTGCAGTCCAAAAACACCTGAGTAATGCAAGGTTAAGAACCACTGGTTTAAAGCATGTATGGACAGAAAGAAGATTATGGCCCTTTGTTGAGCCAGTTCAGTTGATCTGGTGTTGGGCTTCTTGCAAATAATGGAGTAGGTGGCTTGTGTGTTGGATTCAGCAAGACACTTATTCAGTTAAATCAACAAGATCGGTTGTTCTTAAGGGCTGAGGGAGTTTGAGTGTGCAAAAGTGCTTCATGGATTTTAAAACTGATCTGTGTACCACTGAGATGGAAATAGACTACATAAGACTGAAGTTGTAGTCCTGATCATCTGCTTTAGAAATGAAATGAATTATTCTCAATATGCAAAGCAATTTTTTTGTTTGTAGTTTCTAGCTACGTAGTAAGGGGAGTATTGCGCTTTTCTACAACTGTAGAAGTCCAGGTAGGTTTAGCGTTGGTTATGCTAACTGAACATTAGTTAGTGTATCTTGTCAGTTAATATGATCTTCAGTTGCTCACTATGTGGGTGTGTGGGTGAGAATGTTTCAGAGCTGTAGAAAAACATGTAGGTACTAACTGTATGAAAAGGGGATGACAGAGGATGAGATCGATGTACAATGTCATCGAAGTGACCAACATGAATTTGACCAAACTGCGGGAGGCAGTGGAAGAAAGGAGGACCTAGTGTGCTCTGGTCCATGGGGTCATGAAGAGTCGGACACGACTTAACGACTAAACAACAACAACTAACTGTATCTTCTAGATTAATATTATTATTGTTCAATACCACAGAAGTTATTATTCCACCACCATTTTAATACCTTCATAAAATTTGGTCTGCTGGATCAGATCAAAGGCCTGTCTACGTAGTTCATAACCCTATTCCCACTGTTACCAATTATGTTGATTTTTCTGTTGTGTCTAAATGACTAGTCTTCAGAGGCATAAACTCTCATATCTAAGAGGTGGTGTATAGTTCTCAGGACTAGATAGATCTGTCCTTCATGAACTTGCCTAATTACCTTCTTAAACCATTTAAAGTTGCCAGCTATCACTGTTCCTCATGCTAAATGAATTGCACCGTTTAGCTGCTTCCAGAGTACTGCCTTTGGTATGATATGAATCTACCACTAAGTTCATTGGATAAATCTAGGTTCTGTAATTTTAAGACTGAGTGCATGTGCTCAAAGACAAAAATGAGTTCAAGGACAAAACAAAAGAAACTCTCTTATGAGAGGCTATGTTTTTTGGTTGCCTTAAATGGAAAATATATTAAGTTGACTTTCACAGATTTATAATATTCTTTTTTTTAGAATAACTATTTCTAGTTTTTATACAGTTTACACAATTTACCCAACATCTTTTTAACAGATGTAGATGTTGTTAGTTTAGTTAGGCATCCTTCAGTCTCGAAAGACTATGGTAACGTGCTCTGTATGGAGGACTTGGCACAGCATCTAGTGTGGCTGAGGAGGCCGATTCGAGAGTGACAATCTCTTCCACACTGAAGACAAATCCAATCTGACCCCTGTCCGGCTCCCTGCTTTTGCGACTTCCTCTTCACCTCGGCCTGCTGGACAAGGGTCTCTTCAAATTGGGAGAGGCCGTGATGCAATGCCTGCCTCCAGGCTGAACGCTCAGATGTCAGGGTTTCCCATCTGTTGAAGTCTATTCCTAAGGCCTTCAGATCTCGCTTGCAGATATCCTTGTATCGCAGCCATGGTCTCCCTCTGGGGCGATTTCCCTGCACTAATTCTCCATACAGGAGATCCTTTGGAATCCAACCATCAGCCATTCTCACGACGTGCCCAAGCCAACGTAGATGTTGTATTACCTTATATTCTAAGGAACTACTTGGTCCTTAGAATGTCATCCAGTTGCCTCTCTGGGCACAGCATTAGCTTTTGGTATGGTTTTTGTGGGTTTTTCGGGCTCTTTGGCCGTGTTCTGAAGGTTGTTCTTCCTAACGTTTTGCCAGTCTCTTTGGCCGGCATCTTTAGAGGACAGCACTCTGTCCTCTGAAGATGCCGGCAAAGAGCCTGGTGAAATGTTAGGAAAAACAACCTTCAGAACACAGCTAAAGAGCCCAATAAACCCACAAAAACCATTAGATCCCGGCCATGAAAGCATTCGCGAATATAGCTTTTGGTATGTTTTCTGCCTTTAGGGGGCATGGGGATCAATGTTGTCATGCTGGGAGGAGGGGGGCTAAAATGTTGCCTCAGACGATTTCCAATAGACTTTTTTTGAGGGCAGTAGGAGATTTTTTTAAAGTTAAAAAAATACTCTTTTTAAGACATTAAACCCATATTTCAGTTTACAGAAGCAGCTTTATAGCAACTGTAACCTGTTATGCAAATTATTTAAATTGCAAATTAAAGGAGATGTTCACACCCTTCTCCTTTAGCCCTGTTCCCTTGGAAGTGCAGCATTCAAGATGCCACAGAATCTGAAAAATGGCCTTCAGTCTGGCTGACACTTCCTACCCCGATGCTAGATGCTCTGTACTGGCACCTTGTTGCCTGTTTTAGATTGTATGAGCTATTACAGTGGTGCCTCGCTTTACGATTGCCCCGCATTACGACAAAACCACATTACGATGATCTTTTTGCAATCGCAATTGCGAACGCAAAACGATGGTCTAAATGGTTTTTTTTCACTTCACGATGATCGGTTCCCTGCTTCAGGAACCGGTTCTTCGCAAAATGACTATTTTAAAACAGCTGATCTGCTGTTTCAAAATGGCCACCGGGTAAACAAAATGGCTCCCCGCGGTTTTCTGGGATGGATTCCTCGCGAGACAGGCAGCGAAAACTGCTGCCCTGTGGAGGATCTTCACTGGACGTTGAGTTTTGACCCCATTGGAACACATTGAAGGGGTTTCAATGCATTTCAATGGTTTTTTCCGCTTTACGATGTTTTCGCTTAACGCCGATTTTCCTGGAACGGATTATTGCTGTTAAGCAAGGCACCACTGTAATTTGTTCTATTGCATTAAGAAACCCCAAACCCTAATGCACAGTTAATGCCACAAAAAAAGTTGTTCTGATGCCTCAGAGTACTTTTGTAACCAAATGACTTAACTTTGGTAGAATTCTATTATTTAAGCTGTCTAAAGGCTTAAATGTATTTTCAGGTAACAATACTAAGCATACCTCCTGGTGTAAGCTGTGTGGTGAGCAACGGAACTAATTAGTGCATTATGTATGGTGCCTCAATAATATTACTTTGTTTGCACTCTGCAATTAAAAAGTATGTGTGTGTACAGTAGTCCTATCAAAAGTAAAAGTAGTAATGAAATTACTAATGTGCATTCTTAGACTATATTGCCAGTGATAATATGGGGTGAGTTAGTACCTCCTAATCCTTTTTCTTTTGCAAGGGCAAGCTTACTAAACACTAATGAAATTGTGTTTTGTTTTTCTTCTTGTCTCTCATTTGTCCATATAAAGTTGATCTAACACGTCTTTAGTTCTACTTCAGTAGTTAGTGTTCCAACATCTGTGCACCTG